TTTAAAGAAGTTTTCATCATTCTGGGAAGAAAAAAGAAATCTGCAGATCCTCTTTATTCACACGCTGATGAACTTTGACACTCAGGATCAACAATTTTGAAATCGCATGTTGAATAGGAACATCGAGTTAAGTAAACAGTTCATTACCTAAAGCCAGTTTGACCTTCCGACGCAACCTTTTTTCCGGAGCTGCAGCTATTCCAACAAACATTTTAGCAAACGACACAGATTTGAAGTGCGGAGATACATTTATGTAGACATAAATATAGCACGTTAATTGTGGGTGTTGCACCAAAAAATACTAGACAATAGACAAGCAATAAAAACAACTGAGCTCTTTCAGTCTAAGTGTACTAAATTATAGATTTGAAATTTTAAAACGATAAGAACATGGATTAGGAACATCAAGGTCACTTCTCTTGAGCTGTTTGATTATGTTTATGATATATGAGAAGGAAGTGGACTAGGGGAATTTTACAGAAAAGTAAACGGTGAAAAAACATTTAAGAACCTACAATGCGGAAAGCGGATAAAAGCAACAAGTATTAGTGCATTGCATTCGTGGATGCTTTTGTTTCCAGGGTTTTTGTTGTAGTATACCATTGGCACAACAAAATTGCTCTCTGCTGTCAAGTTGACACTGCCCTCCTTTGCGATAGTGGCAATCTGAACATTGATCTGTTAATGTTACTGCAACAGTGACGTCGCCAGTTACGAAAGTAAATGGGTCACTGGCGTCAGGCACGTCTTTAATTGGAAGCAGGACCTTTTTACACGCTTTCAAATAACTCTGAGACGCATCCTCGTCTGTTTTATTGAAGTGGTTGTAGTAGATACCGTAGCCATGGCACGCATTATACTTGCTCATATTTTTATTTGTGACATTGAGGGTCTTGTTGCACAAGAACAGACTTGTGTTGTATAACAATCTAAAAGCAGCAAAGTGAGATTTAAGAGGAAGAGTATAACTGTTTTTGAAAACTTCACAACTTCGGTTCTGCAGAAGATCATAAAAATGTTTGTCTCTAAATTGAAAAGTTGCTAAACGGATAGTAGAGCTACTAATAAGCGAATATGTGGTTACAACCTGAACCCAACCTCCATTTGGTTGTAATTGGATATATTTGGGCGTATGTGGATCATCACTACAATTTCGTATGGACAAGAAGCCACAGTCGGGGCGTTCAGTTAAAGTAAAAGGGAAAGTGAGATTGCCAAGATATCCACAAGGAAATGAAGGTGGACACCTTCCATGGTCCCCGGCTGCCAAGGGAAGTGGCATAAACTTAGAAAACAAAAGCAGTAATAGGAATCCATGAACCGGACTCATGCTTCTTCAATCGCACACTACGTCTGTGAGAAAAATAGCATAGAATTCATCTCCGATTAGATTATCCAAACTGAGCAGAAATTTGTCTCACTTGCTTTTATACTCTTTCCAATATAACACCACTGGAAGCGCCTGATACGTCAGTTGAATTAGAAAATGACTAGGAATTCAGGGAATACTCCTTGAAAAAGTTTCCAGGGAAGAGGGAGTGTAAAACCAAGACATTTTTACACATACATACATATCTAGCCATTAGGGGAGGGAGACCAATTCTTGCGACTATCGACGGAAGCACAAAGACTCGACTTGTCTGCTTATTCCTTATAATCTCTTAACGTACTCTGCTTCAAAAGCGAAACTTGTCTTGGTCCGGGAGGCTCTAAACCGTGTAAGAGACGCAAAGCAGAATGAAAAACACTTGTGTGCATCATAATGAAGATTAAAAAAATATCACAAGGAGTCCAGAAGAGTTGGGAAATGCAGTGGGGCCAACGAGGTTGAAACATTTAAAAGAGGTAGGAAAAAAGAGTACTAAATGACGTTGAAAGAGTGTAAGAAATAATAAGAGAAGGTTAAGGATGGTTAAGTCCTTTTAAGCGGTTAGGTTCACACTTTACTTCAACGTGACAAGTCAACGAGGCCAGAGAGAAAACGCGTTCGCTGTCATAATCACTGACTTCAAATTTCTTGCCACCTACCCTCCTCCTTTCTGCTGTTTCCAGTTTCAAACACTTTTCTAGCACTCTCTCTGTGTGAACTAATGAAAGTTTTTTGTCCTGCTTCACTGGCTTGCAAACTACTGTTAACGATAATGTATTACTCACTACTAAAAATCAAACTCAGATTTTCATTACATGAATCAATCCAGTGAGCGCAGGACTTGTTATCACATGAATCTGATTAATTTTGCTTCTTTGGCAACTTTATAACAATGAGATAACTACAGATATAATTAACCCTTGTATCAGTTATCATGTTACTTTCTCTGGTAATCTGCTTTTTGTGTCCACAAACATAAATGGAAAGAAAAGTCTCTTTATTTATCCTTTTCAAGTGACTTGGCATCTTTTACCGTAGTGTGAGACAAACATTTTCCACTTATTATGTATTATTTATTTGCTTCCCAATTTCATGTTTATCTTGCAAGGTCCCATCTTATCTAACCGAAAAATTTTGATAGCCAACCACACCAATTTCAATTTAAAACGTCAATTCTCTTAAGGTGGCTTTTTTCCATTTTTCAAATATTCTTTGCCATCTTTCTTTTGTCACAAAACTTATCTATTCTTCCTTTGCATCTCTCTTCATTTCACACACTACAGGGATGTGAAACAAATTGTTTTAGTTTTTCCAAGACTTGAAATTATTTATTTGCTTATAATGTAAATTCCATTATTTTTACGTTCAAATTTGTATGCTATGTCCTCATACTCCACCGTTTTGACATATCTCTCCCGAAAGGAGAGACAAAAGACTTTGACATGGGACTCACAATAAAATGAGATCCATCCTAAAATTTTACACCATATAGGAAACAGTTTTACACTGCAAGTGGTGAAGTTGATGGAAATTTTATCAACCAAATAAAGAAGTTTCTTAAGAAACATACTTTTCTCTTGTAAAGTACACTAAAGTGAAAGAAAGTAATTAGCAACCTTTGAGTAGGGATCAGCCATTCTTATTAGTAGTAGTAGTAGCATACTATATAAACTACCCTAAGAAACACGTTACTTTGAAGATTTTATACCCAACCTCCAAACACATTACGCTGTGGGCAAATATTAAGGTATAGTGACATTAAATGCATCAACTTTAGACCTAATATATCTAACTTATAAGCAGGGTTCCTTTCTAAAAATTAAAGTGAAATTATCACCTAGTTGTTGTGAACTGTGACTACGATATTTCATAGTCATCACAGAATAATTACGTGAACAAAAAGGTATTAGATAAGTTCCGCCACTAGCCCATTAAGAAGGAGTAATATGGGTTGGCGTGTTTTAATAATAATAGTAATAATTAAATTAAATTTACTTCTCTTAAAGACTGTACAAACATCTATCCTAATTTTGGTTTTTCTCCAAAATTTATAGTTTGGATTATGAATTTCACAAATTTACTTTTTTTTTAAGATTGTTTATCATATTTGAAATATATAATTTCATAACCAAAAACTTTACTCTGATATGGAATGGAAGAATTTCTGGAAAATTCCTTATTTTCCAATACAAAATCGTTTCATAGATAACAAATAGTTCACAGAAAAAGACTTTTATTTTCTCTGGACTTCATAAACAAAACATAACGAAATTCCAATAAATTTTCTTGAATATTACATTCGTACTAGATACTTTATTAATCATTTTCTGTAAAAGCAGCTAAGTTCATCCTTTAAAGATTTAAAGTTTTAATATTTACTTTTTTTACTGTTTACTATATTTTAGATAATCAAAGAAATTGATTAGCTACAAACATACAAGTCAAGATGGCCGAGTTGGTCTAAGGCGCCAGTTTCAGGTACTGGTCCGAAAGGGCATGGGTTCGAATCCCATTCTTGACAAAAAATTTGTTTTCTTTCTATTTTCTATTTTCTATTTTATAGAACTAACAGTTGCCTCACTAATAGTGGCCCAGTAGTACCTTCAGCCCATTATTGTAAATTTAAAAAAATGTAGTGGTGCAGGAGCAATGTGGGTGGTTTAGAAAGTAACCATCTCCATAAAGTTTACAAACATCCCGCCCCAATCCATTTCAACCCACCCACATAATAAATTGGTACAATTAATGACACTTAAAGCTTATTGGCTTATTTGAACAAATAAATAATATATTGTATAAATAAAAATTTATATGATCCATCAAATTCGTTATTTCACAGCAAAAAGAAGTTTTTATTTGAATTTATATAAAAAAATTAGTTTAAAAATTGTATTTGTGCAAGTAATTTTATTTGTACGGTTATTCTTTTTCGTTAGTACAAAATTTAACCTTTTTAAAATGCAAAGTAAGAGTTTAATAGCCGTAATTGTGTTTTAGTAAGTTTCTGAAATAAAATAAAAAATGTTTGATGAAGTATATAACCCAGAAATATTCTATTAATATCTTCATATTTCTCAATAATATAACCTAGAGCTAAATACATGCAATGAAAAATAGCCAATAGCAGCCCCATCCTAAATAATTGACAATGAATGAAATTTAAAGCTCAAGCATTGGAATATTCAAATTATTTTCTGAGTCAACTATTTTATAGATACAGAAGTAACATTTTTTTTTTTTATTTCAAAACTGTACCGACATTATTAATTATTTCTTTTGGTACATGTGCTGACACATTAATATAAGTTATTAACAATATTATTATACTGATTAACACGTCATTATGGCTTGACTAAGTACTTTGTGTAGTTATTTTCACTTAGTTTTTGTTAGAGACGTAGCCATCATTGAAGATTGATTAGGTCCTTTCTTTTACCAAACAAACTGAAGTAGTATTTTAAACCTTCAATACAGAAGAAAGAAGAGGGGAGCTTTCAATACTCCCAATTCTGCATTTGTGTTTGCCACAGACAACACACTGCAAACCAAGAAGACACGCTAAATGCAAAACATACATCACTCTTGTAACATGCTTAATTATCCTTAAAACCATGTTTGTGTATTGAATCTTAGTCTAAAAACTAAAGTATTAGCAACTTTATTAAATCTTTAAATTTAATTCCAAAATTCAATATTTTAGTAGTCTGTATAGGTATTTTCCTATTAACGCTTGTGTTCATCCAGCCATTGCAATTATGCAGTTTCAGTACAGCTAACATGTAGTCCCTATTTAGTTGGGATCTCTTTCGATCAAATAAAAGCAATCCATTTTCTCTTTTGACGATAAAAATAAAGTGGAAAAGTGCAAAAGGTTAAGCAGAAGAAGAGTGACTGACCTGGATCATCCGCTCCACATTTGGCAGAATGAACTCTGTCAGTGCAATAACACCTGAAAGCGTATATATTTTAATCTAAACCGCACCTCCCTCCGGTACTGTTGCAGACGCTGCAGTTACTCGCAGTCCACGACAGCAAAAACCCTTTGCTCAACGCTTCAGCAACCCCTCCTATTCCATCTTCCACAACCGTATCCACCACCTCACCTTTGCAATTCTCTGCCACAACGCTTATATTTTCATCTCTTTTATCCAATGCCAAAACGGAACTCGTCTCGTTTTCTGCAGAACACCCAACTCTGTGTTCGTGAAGCGAAGGTGCGTCACAGCCGTAGAACAACACCATGTCCGTTTGATTCGGAGCAACACCGAAAACGTTAGTATGAGGAAGAGTGAGATTCTGAGTTGGAACAAGACAACCTCTGGTGGTGTTTGATTGCATAGCTGAGAACGCGGCATTGGACAGTCGCAGGGACTGATTTTGGTAGAAGATTTGATGAATGAGGTATTGGGTGTGAGAGAGATTGAGGATAGGGAAGCCATCAAGAGAACAGGAGATTTCAAAACCAGGGCTCCCACAGTAAGGTTCTTGCGTTCCTTGGATGTAAAAAGGAAAGCTTATAGATTGGTTGTTGTTGGGGCAGGTTTTGGGTGCACAAGCAACGAATTTAGGATCGACTTGAGAAGAAGTGATTTGGGCAAGGAGGCAGAAGATGATGATGTAGGAATTGGTGATGGGAGAAAGGAAGGGTTTGAGGATAAAAAATTGGGTGTTTTGGTTTATCATCTTTGAAGGTTTTGTTTGTAGCTGTGGATGAAGATGATTGAAGAGAATTGGTTATACGAAAAAGTATGAACAGTTGGATTATGGCCGCCTAAAGCGAAGGGATTTGACTTTGAAAGCTGGAATTGGGAGTGGATGGTTCTGACATTTCTTTGAGTGAAAAAGAAATGTCTAGTTGTCTCTACCTCTTATCTCTGAATTCATCATCTCCACATACAATACAATGACCAATTTTAAAAAAGAAGGGAACAAGTTGAAAATGTTGACTCCATTCCTCTCTCTCTCACTGATTGTTTAATTGATTTTCATTTCGATTTGTCTACCATTGCAGACGTTACAGACAGGGAGAGAGAAAAAGATTTATGGGTTTAAGTGCTAAAATATCCAAATTGTTATGCTAATCTTCAAAACAAAATCTTTGACGTAACTTTAGGAATAATAAATCATATAAAATACAGATAAACATGATAGTTTGACGCTAATGTTTTATGTTTAAATTTGAGTTTTGGTTTTGATAATTGATTTCCAGTTTGTAGATAATTTTTACATTATTGATATAAAATTTTAATTTTAATTAAATAATTATTTATTCATTAAAATATCCATTAAAATATTGTATTTGTATGTATATAAGTTTTACAAAAGTTGGTAAAAGAAAACACGTGAGAAATAGAAATGTTGGTTGAGATGGTAAAGGAAAACGGTGTTATAAAAGGTATTATAAAATTGTGTTATGTTAATGATTTTGTTTTATGAATTACCTCTCCTGGAAAATCCACCTGCGTGCTCTAATTTCCCAAATTAATTGAAATGGTGATAATTACCTAGATCTGATTTTTTAATTTGCGGGTACTATATCATTATTGTACCAACATTAATTCCAGAAGAACTCTCTCGCACTACAGAAAACCACTCGTTTACAAAACTTGTACTCATTAATTACTTGTCACAAACAGGCAACGAGATTTATATATAGACACAATACATCTTGTGTAAATTTCTACCTATTGGAAATTATCTTATTAAGTCTAACATTCCAATTATATATTAATCAGCATTTACATTTTCAATAGCATTATAAAAAAACTAATAAAAAATAAGAATGATGTGAATTTATCTTCGAAGTCTTAAAAACTAACTAAGAATAATACGAATAAGCGACACTTCTAAAATTCACTAATTCATTATTATATATTTACTGTTTCACATTCTCTCAATTAAGTAACTCGAGCTTAAAAGTTATCTTTTATATACTCCCATCCATTCAAAATAATGAAAAGACGGATAACTACTATATTATCAAAAAGCACAAAAGATCTTTGTGGAGATCATCTCTTACTTTATGAAATTAATTGATTCATCCTTTACCACAATAATTAACCTCATTTATAAGAATTCATATGCACTTTAATTTAATATCCGCTGGGTTCAGCAATTTTAATTGTGATTGAAAATTGATGACGAGATTAGGGATATTTTTATTGGATTTGTGGGCCAAATCTAAAGTGGTGTGGAACTTTAAATGTGCCCTAGTCTCTCGGCCTGAGAAAGTAAGTAACAATTGAACCGGGCCTCTGACTAGTGTATAAATTGAGGACAATGACACACATTTGACCCAAAACAATGGAAAATCAAATGATACAGATGCGTAAGAAGACAAAACTCCTCGTGCAACATTTGATCCCATCAAAGGTGTCGTTTGATCCCATAATTTCAGTAATACCATAATATTCCTCATGCTCGAAATCTTATTTCGTAAATTAATATGAAAAAGTAAAATGATAATTATAAAATTTTTCTTACTTATTTAAAGTAAAAAAGTTTATGAACAATACCATGTTATGATTTTTTATTTATTTTTGTAATATTCCGTAACTCTCAATTAAAAAAAATTGTCTTTCCAGCTCTTTTTCTTAAAAACATTCATTTTCAAACACGTCTAATCGCGAAATTGGACGTTACAATTGCTTGGACCATAAATTAAAGAAAAAGGTTATCGAGTCTCCACATTCAAAGCAATCTTAGGTTTCACAGTGATTATGGGTTGGGCTTTGTACACTATTTTGTACGTTGAAGTTGTTTATTTTCTAAGTATGAATTTTCGTTATTTGACTTCACACTATGTATGCTGTTTTTCTGTTGACAAATGAGGTAAAAATAACAATTTAGTTTTGATTATTATGAAATTACATCTAATTTAAAAATTAGTCAAAACGAGGCGAAGTCCGTGAGGGTATATTTGCTGAAAATTAGATGGTTGAAAACTGATGAATATGACTGATGCGAAGAATAAAAGTGGCATGGTCATGGTGGTTCTTGTGGGTCTTCCCACTAGCATTTCATTTCCATTTTTCCACCACACTTTCTCCCAACACGACCACACTCACAAACATCTATCAAACTCTCCTTTTTTATACTTGCAAAATTACTGTCGTAACAATTCAATTTGAAGCTACAACAATTCTTAGGTCATGTTGTCGGTGACTGATAAACAGAATATTTATTTCAAACAGAAAATATATCTTACTGTGTAATTTTTCACCGCAATGAAGTGAAAGTCATCCGCAATGAAATGAAAGTCATTAAAAAAGTGTGACAGTTAGAATTCAATTGCTTTGCGCTAAAGGCTCAATCAGTAATGACCCAATAGTTTTGCTTAGCTATGACCCAATCAAATTTTAACAAATGTACCTTTCCAACATGCATGACTACTGTTCAAAACAAATGAGACAAAAAAAATGTTTAATATGTAAAATAAAAGTAAAAAACTATAATGTATTTATATATCTATAGTATTATGTAAAGAGATTCACCTTTTTAGTGTTCATATTTTATTTTCAATTTTATTATATTAAAAAGTATAGAATTTTTTATAAAAGTTTTATTTAAAAAATATAAATTTAAAATATAATTTGATTTGCTAATAATTTTCTTTAAATAGTTTGTTTATAAATAAACCTAAATAATTTACACTTATATTACTAATTTTTAACTTAACATTAAGTTTCTTTTTAAATATTTTCACCTACAACCATATTATTGTTTAATTTTATTTTTCTAATTTATTACACACAAAAAAAATCACGCTCATAATTTAACTTTAACTCCTTTCATTTTTATGATTTTATCAAAATTTGTATTAAGAAACTAAATACTTTGCAACTATTATGGGTCTATGTTTCTTCGTGGGGTTTCTTGTTTTTTTTTAAATTATAGTTGACTTTATTTTCTTACAAATTTAATTACAATCAGAAGGGAAAAGATATAATACAACCCTACAATCAAAAATCAACGTGAACATCATCAGTTATTTTGTTATTAAATTGAAAAACAAATGAACGAACAAATAAAAAACAACAAATTATGATGTCACGAGTTCCTATGTATGAATGTGAGAAAAGATGGAGATGAGATAAAAAAATTGGATAAATGATGAAGGTGGATTACAGTTAGATGAGTGTTTCTGATTTTTTTTGTTGAGGCTATAGGAATGATAGAGAAAAGGTTGAAGTGAGAAAAATGAATGAGAAAATGTTGAGAGGAAAGGAGGGAGGTATGCAGGGTTTAAAGGTTTTTTATTTTTTTTTAAGAATGAAAATTATTCAAATATCATTTACCTTAAACCTTAAACCTTAAAATCCATTATATAAAGGTATTTTTGTCTACCAAAACCTAGTACATATTCCTAAAAACGTACTAACTAAAAAAAGACTTTACACATGATAACAAACCCCATATATTTATATATACATGTGTATATAATATATATATATATATATATATATATATATATATATATATATATATGTGTGTGTGTGTGTGTGTGTACACACTAATATTTTGACATGCGTAACAAGAAGATTATTTTTAAGATTGTTGAATTTTGTTTTTATTAAAACTAAAAGTAAATCAAGAATTTAAAAATAAATTTTATACTTTAAATAGTGATGAAAAATATTATTTGAGGAAGAGAAATAACTTAACAATATTTATATTTGACAAAAGAATATTAATTTATACTTACAATAATTTTGAATTTAACGTGAAATATTATTTTTAATTTTATTTTTTAGTTTAGTTTGAGTTTATTAATGATGTCCATATTTAATTGTTGGTTTGCTATTTTATATAATATTTTTAAATTTATAATTTTGACGTGAAATGCCTTCAAACACACGTTAAGAAAGTTAACAAAAAAGGTTTCCTTTTACAATTTTTCTATTTTGAATTTCAAATAATTTTTTTGTTACTACAAGTTTACAATAATTTGTAATTTCAAATTTCAAATTTAAACTTGGTTACCTTATATTTTAAATTTCAAATTTCTAGTTTACATTATGAATCCGAATTTTAAAAAATAATTGAAATTGAAATGGTCAGTTATTTTTCATCTTCTAAAGTTTTAAAAAAATTATAATTTTCAATTTTTAATAATACATTCTGTTATTGAAATTATGTATATTATGATTTGACTATAAGAAATATATTGAAAATACCTTTTGTTTATAAATATAAAATTATTTTATTACAATTAAATTGAAATAAATATTTTTGGAACAAAAAATTATTAAATGATATTAATGATAATATGAGATCAACAAACTAAATATATAAAGCTTAATTATAATATAAAAATTATAAGTTCAAAAAAGGAGTTGATTATAAATAAAGTTAGTAAACAAAATGCAGCAACAGTATTCTAAAAAAAAAGATCTCCACTGACTAAGTAAGATACTAACACATGATTAAAAGACGTATAAGAAATAAATATATTTGTTCTAACAAATTAAAAGTAAAAAATAATTGTTTCTGACAAAGCTATAGTGTCTCCCGTGATAAATGAGGCGGAGATGGTGAAGGAGAAGACAAAAACGGTTTAGGCGGAAATTCCAATAATTCAACTTTTTTCTGTAACATTTCCACCACGCCACTTATTGTTGGTCGACTTGAAGGGTGAGTTTGTATGCACCACAAACCTACCATTGCCATTTTTCTCATCATTTTGTCATCACTTTCATTCCTTACAATTTGCAGATCAAGCTCTTGATTTGATTCAAGACGATCGTAAATCCAATAAGGAAAATACAATTCACTTGAACGATCGATTTCAATCTTAATATTATTTCTTCTACCAACCATTTCCAAGATCATCATTCCATAGCTGTAAACATCTGATTTATGTGACACGGCGCCAAAGTTTCTGCAGAAAACTTCTGGAGCAATATAACCTGCAGTTCCCCTCGCACCAGTAATGGATACCGCACTTTCTCTTGTTGGACATATTTTTGCAAGTCCAAAATCTGAAATTTTGGGACTAAAATTCTCATCCAGTAATATGTTGTGAGGTTTTATGTCAAAATGCAAGATTCTAGTGTTGCAACCTCTGTGTAAATACTCTAATCCACGAGCAATGCCAATTGCAATGTTATACATTATCTGGCAATCCAATCGATGAGCAACCTGTAATGGATTTTTGTCTTGATATATGAACTTGTCAAGAGATCCATTAGACATAAACTCATATATTAGAGCACGTTTAGAACCATCAAAACAAAATCCCAGGAGTCTGACAATGTTAACATGTGAAGTTGTACTGATACTTGCGACTTCATTGATAAATTCTTCGCCGTTGCCTTTTGATTCAGCTAAAATCTTTACTGCAACAACACGTCCATCATGTAACTTCCCTTTATATACGCCACCGAAGCCTCCTTGCCCCAACTTGTTTTTAAAAGAGTTGGTCATTTTCTTAATCTCTGAATAATTGTGCCTAGTTATAGGAAGAGGTCCCCGTTCCTTCAAAAACTTCTGAATAACATGATGGGTTGGGTTATCCCTCCGAAACAAACGAGACGAGGGATAGATCTTTGTCCTAAACCAACAAGCCAAGATTACCACCACTACAACTCCAACAACCCCCACTGCCGAAGCTGGCGAATTTATACAATATCAAAGGAAAATGTATGGCGTAAGTAACATGTTAAAGACTATTCTTTTTATGAATCAACACATATATTGCTTTGTTTGATAAATCTCTTTAGTACTTTATAGTTATCTCTTATACTATGAGAAAAAAGTATTTATAGAATAATTAATTTTCCGACTGTAGTAATAAAATAACGAAATTGAATTGAATTTGTTTGTAGTGTTATACCTATTTTCACCATTGTAGCCCTGTTCTTATTGGTTATCGCTGCAGAAGACAAACAAATATATCAAAGCGAATTTCAAATGCTGGATATATTATTTAGGTTGCTGATATTAATTAGTATTTATTTTTATTTACGTCTTAAGAATATTTAAAAAAACAATTCTTTTGATCACTCGATATTTTTAATCATAATAATCAATATATTTTATATTATGTAACGACCTATACTATTAAAACAAAGAATGGAAAAAACTTAAAATTATACGACAGATTAAGGGATTGCTTCAACTCACAAACTTGCATAACCAATTGAGCTATAAACATAAACATATTTTCCGTACTCCTGGTTTTAAATATAACAGGTTAGTTCTCTCGTATGTTTGATCGGTAAGAAAGAAAAAGTGTTGACGAGTAAATGAACCTAATGAGTATTTTTTTTTATTTTATTTTTCACTTACTTTTATATCAATCTTTAAATTTTGATTTCATTTATTTTTTATTTTCCTTTTCTCCAAACATATTTAAGTTTCTACTTAGTTTTTATTTATTTATNTATATATATATATATATATATATATATATATAATTATCTAATAAATTTTTTATATTTAGTAATTTATTTTTAAATAAGGATGAGTATTAAGACAAATATGAAGATTAGAGGAGATACCAGTGTAAAAAAAAGGCTTTGATGTTTGTTATTTTTTATATTAATTTATGCAAAAACACTGACATTATAATGAGAAATGTTGATTAAGGTATGAAAATGAACATTTTTTTACGTTAATTAACGACCATTTTCGATGTCAAATGACATCAAAAAATGCACTTCTAAACGTCCTTCCTTTGATTTTTAATAAATGAATAATTTTAAAGTTTTACCAAACCTGAAAAGCAGAAAACAAGTAAATGCGCCAATTTTGACAGTCCATATATCCAGAACTCATTTTCAAAATTGTATGAACTAATATAAACTAAAGATATCACAAATAAAAAATTGAAAAACCATGAGAATGTGACTAGTAGAGATTTGTATGGACCCTCACCATCACCCACAAAATGAAGAAAGAGTTCTAATTCTATCAATCCTTAATATGTATGTTAGTAGTGGTATTACAGTAACAGTAGTTATGGTGAGTAGTCTATACTCATTATTCACTTGTGATTTTTTGTTTTGATAGCTATAATTATTATTTTTGGTTGAATTTTTTTTACCACTCATTAGAACTCCTATTTTGGGTTTGTTTAAAGTTTAAAAATTATTTGAAAAGTTAGTTGTTGCAAATTTTTAAACGATTATAACTTTTGTTGTGGTTTGTAGATTTGGCATTATTATATATCGATATGGGGTAGAAAAGTATTTCTAATATGGTGGTGGCTGGCTTGGCTAGTTGTTACTTCTAGATTTTCAAAAAAAGACTGTTTTTTATTTTTTGTCAATTTATTTTATTCTTTCAATCTTTGCAAAATTATTTCACATACTTAGACTTTGAATTTTGATCTAAAATTTTTTGTGGGGGCCTCTCATGATTGTTTGGTGATTTAAACAATTTTTTAGGTTATTTAGAGTTTTTTGGAATATACTCTTAATTTTACCCTAAGTTTGGATGTATACGATGTATGAACAATAAACAAGTTCAATAATACCAACAAGTTTAATCAATTTATAACCCATAAAAAATGAAAACGAAAACAAAAGTTCATCAAAAACACAAAATGAAGCTAACCTTCTTGAAGGTGGGTTCACCACCAGAATAAAATGTTGCCACCAATGAAAGAGGAAGGAGAACGCGCCTATGCTCCAAAGAGTACTTGTGCACGAAACCAATCAGTCAAAACCAAAGAAAATCATACCTAAAGTAGTTAATCAACGTGCATTTATGTAAAAATGAAAGAAATATTACATGTGTTTGCCGAAAGTTTCATCTAAGAAAGGTTTAAGTAGAGAAGAAGATTTCAAAGATAAAATGAATAAATTTTCACCCTCCCACCCAAATTGTTTAATGAATTCACTAACATATAACGACTGTAAAGAGATACTTTTCCATCTTATAACTATTTGATATTCTTTGACGTCATATGTGAGTATATTTTCACCTTTATGCCATACATTTTCATTAAATTTCTACAATATGACATCGAAAATTGAGAATTTCAACATCTAATAATCATATAATGTCGAAAAAGTATAAATTTTGACGTTGAAATTCAACATTTATTTACAAAAATGTTTACTTTGGTTTTTTCGTATTACAATCTTGAACCAAAGATGTCAAAATTTTTTTTATACTAGTGGGACGAATATATATGTATATAATATATATATATATATATATATATATATATATGTGTGTGTGTGTGTGTGTGTACACACTAATATTTTGACATGCGTAACAAGAAGATTATTTTTAAGATTGTTGAATTTTGTTTTTATTAAAACTAAAAGTAAATCAAGAATTTAAAAATAAATTTTATACTTTAAATAGTGATGAAAAATATTATTTGAGGAAGAGAAATAACTTAACAATATTTATATTTGACAAAAGAATATTAATTTATACTTACAATAATTTTGAATTTAACGTGAAATATTATTTTTAATTTTATTTTTTAGTTTAGTTTGAGTTTATTAATGATGTCCATATTTAATTGTTGGTTTGCTATTTTATATAATATTTTTAAATTTATAATTATGACGTGAAATGCCTTCAAACACACGTTAAGAAAGTTAACAAAAAAGGTTTCCTTTTACAATTTTTCTATTTTGAATTTCAAATAATTTTTTTGTTACTACAAGTTTACAATAATTTGTAATTTCAAATTTCAAATTTAAACTTGGTTACCTTATATTTTAAATTTCAAATTTCTAGTTTACATTATGAATCCGAATTTTAAAAAATAATTGAAATTGAAATGGTCAGTTATTTTTCATCTTCTAAAGTTTTAAAAAAATTATAATTTTCAATTTTTAATAATACATTCTGTTATTGAAATTATGTATATTATGATTTGACTATAAGAAATATATTGAAAATACCTTTTGTTTATAAATATAAAATTATTTTATTACAATTAAATTGAAATAAATATTTTTGGAACAAAAAATTATTAAATGATATTAATGATAATATGAGATCAACAAACTAAATATATAAAGCTTAATTATAATATAAAAATTATAAGTTCAAAAAAGGAGTTGATTATAAATAAAGTTAGTAAACAAAATGCAGCAACAGTATTCTAAAAAAAAAGATCTCCACTGACTAAGTAAGATACTAACACATGATTAAAAGACGTATAAGAAATAAATATATTTGTTCTAACAAATTAAAAGTAAAAAATAATTGTTTCTGACAAAGCTATAGTGTCTCCCGTGATAAATGAGGCGGAGATGGTGAAGGAGAAGACAAAAACGGTTTAGGCGGAAATTCCAATAATTCAACTTTTTTCTGTAACATTTCCACCACGCCACTTATTGTTGGTCGACTTGAAGGGTGAGTTTGTATGCACCACAAACCTACCATTGCCATTTTTCTCATCATTTTGTCATCACTTTCATTCCTTACAATTTGCAGATCAAGCTCTTGATTTGATTCAAGACGATCGTAAATCCAATAAGGAAAATACAATTCACTTGAACGATCGATTTCAATCTTAATATTATTTCTTCTACCAACCATTTCCAAGATCATCATTCCATAGCTGTAAACATCTGATTTATGTGACACGGCGCCAAAGTTTCTGCAGAAAACTTCTGGAGCAATATAACCTGCAGTTCCCCTCGCACCAGTAATGGATACCGCACTTTCTCTTGTTGGACATATTTTTGCAAGTCCAAAATCTGAAATTTTGGGACTAAAATTCTCATCCAGTAATATGTTGTGAGGTTTTATGTCAAAATGCAAGATTCTAGTGTTGCAACCTCTGTGTAAATACTCTAATCCACGAGCAATGCCAATTGCAATGTTATACATTATCTGGCAATCCAATCGATGAGCAACCTGTAATGGATTTTGGTCTTGATATATGAACTTGTCAAGAGATCCATTAGACATAAACTCATATATCAGAGCACGTTTAGAACCATCAAAACAAAATCCCAGGAGTCTGACAATGTTAACATGTGAAGTTGTACTGATACTTGCGACTTCATTGATAAATTCTTCGCCGTTGCCTTTTGATTCAGCTAAAATCTTTACTGCAACAACACGTCCATCATGTAACTTCCCTTTATATACGCCACCGAAGCCTCCTTGCCCCAACTTGTTTTTAAAAGAGTTGGTCATTTTCTTAATCTCTGAATAATTGTGCCTAGTTATAGGAAGAGGTCCCCGTTCCTTCAAAAACTTCTGAATAACATGATGGGTTGGGTTATCCCTCCGAAACAAACGAGACGAGGGATAGATCTTTGTCCTAAACCAACAAGCCAAGATTACCACCACTACAACTCCAACAACCCCCACTGCCGAAGCTGGCGAATTTATACAATATCAAAGGAAAATGTATGGCGTAAGTATCATGTTAAAGACTATTCTTTTTATGAATCAACACATATATTGCTTTGTTTGATAAATCTCTTTAGTACTTTATAGTTATCTCTTATACTATGAGAAAAAAGTATTTATAGAATAATTAATTTTCCGACTGTAGTAATAAAATAACGAAATTGAATTGAATTTGTTTGTAGTGTTATACCTATTTTCACCTTTGTAGCCCTGTTCTTATTGGTTATCGCTGCAGAAGACAAACAAATATATCAAAGCGAATTTCAAATGCTGGATATATTATTTAGGTTGCTGATATTAATTAGTATTTATTTTTATTTACGTCTTAAGAATATTTAAAAAAACAATTCTTTTGATCACTCGATATTTTTAATCATAATAATCAATATATTTTATATTATGTAACGACCTATACTATTAAAACAAAGAATGGAAAAAACTTAAAATTATACGACAGATTAAGGGATTGCTTCAACTCACAAACTTGCATAACCAATTGAGCTATAAACATAAACATATTTTCCGTACTCCTGGTTTTAAATATAACAGGTTAGTTCTCTCGTATGTTTGATCGGTAAGAAAGAAAAAGTGTTGACGAGTAAATGAACCTAATGAGTATTTTTTTTTATTTTATTTTTCACTTACTTTTATATCAATCTTTAAATTTTGATTTCATTTATTTTTTATTTTCCTTTTCTCCAAACATATTTAAGTTTCTACTTAGTTTTTATTTATTTATTTATTTTTCTCCTCGTTGCCAAACATTGTCATTACAAACATTTATATTCCTTCAACAAAGTCGTGCTCTGACCTTGATAATTGTCATAAATACCTAATTCTTAAAGACATAACTTTGTTATTTATTTATGATAAGCGAATCTAACTGTAAGATTCCAAGTAATTTGGTTTTTCGCTTTTTGAGATGTTACATCTAGTTCTTTTTTTTTTGTTAGACTAGTTATTGAGAAAAAATTTGAAAGAGAACTGTTAGATAATCAAATACAAATTAGGAAAACTTATAATATATATAAGTGTAGGTAAATTTTACCTTGGAGCTTAACTCCGAAACACAGAAGAGACTATAGAGAGGGATTCGCCCAAACATATTTAATTCGCTTATGCAATGGCCAATTTTTGGGATGCACGTTCATCAAAAGAGAAAAGAGTGACTGACCTGGATCATCCGCTCCACATTTGGCAGAATGAACTCTGTCAGTGCAATAACACCTGAAAGCGTA